TGAAAATATGGCAAATTTTACACATAACCTGGATCCAGTGATAACGCAAAAATTATTGAAAATATTTTTATTAAACTTGACATATGGGTAGATGGCAGTATAGAAATTATGAACATCCTTTTCTTATCTTCCTATGTTGAAAATTCTGGTTGCTATGGCAACAAATAAAGACTGAGTTTCAAGATTTCTGATTTTAGTTTTTAAGTTTTTTCACTATAAGTTCTTTATTTCTTTAGGTATTTTCTTCAAACTTTAAATATAAGTTGCTAGTCATCAACCACATCATATGTGACAAGGTTTACAACTATAGGACAAAATTTATCAGAATTACCCTCCCTTGAACTTAAAATTTTCATAAAAAAAATATTGTTTTTTTTTAATAACTTCTTTTTTTCTGAATGTATCTACTTCAAACTTCATTTAAATAAATGTTTCTTATTGTCACTCAACATCTGTGAGAAAGTTCAATACTCTAGCAAGACTATTTCCAGAATTATGCCCCTTTTGAACTTAGACTTTTTTTTGAGAAATTGGTAATTTTTACTCCAACTTCTTCAATCGTGATAGGATTTTCTTCAAACTCCCACATCATAATAATAATTATGACAAGGTTTATAAATCTAGCATCCATATTTCCAGAATAATCTCCTCCTTAAACTTTTAATTTTTCCTATTCATTCTTTTAACTTTCATTTACTTCAAATTCAAAATAAACATTTATTATTCATACCTTCATTACTAATTGTTCTTTGTTACACTCACATCATGTATCACATCTTGCATCTTTATTTCAAGAGTAATCTCCTTTTTAAAAATTTTGCTTTTAAAAATATTATATTTTGATAACAGGGATGTTTTAAAAAATAACTTTAGAGTGTTCTTCAGTCCGTCTGTCTGTACATAAAAACTGTTTCCCTCTGTACATAAAAACTGTTTCCTGTGATCACTTTTAAAGAACTTTTTCAACAAATTTACTTAAAATAGAAACATAAGTGAATGGCCAATGGCCCTTCAGAATGTTGCTGGGGTTCTAACCGGTAGGGGATTTATGGATTGCTTGCAATACTTTGATAATTGCTTGTTGATTTCAGGATTTGGAGTGTTCTCAAAAACACCTTTTGAAAAAGGTGATTTTTTATTAGAATATGCTGGAGAGAGAATAAGCATTGAGGAAGCTGAAGTACGAGAGAGAAAAAATCCAGCAAACATGATGTTTTATTTCTCTTACAACGGAAAACGACAATGGTATTTCCTTAACTGGCCTCTCAAATTTAATTATCAGTTGTTATTATCAGACTTCATATTGTCTCATTATTGTTTCAAATAAAAAAATTGAAGCTATTGAGCCAAATTGGATACCTTTTGCTTGGGATGTTCCTTGAATGAAAAACCCATATCTTTCCAGTCTGTTGCATATCTGGGTCAAAGAAGCTGAATATATATTTTGAAAGTGCAATCTTTGAAAACTTTCCTGAAACTACCTAGAGCTAAAATATTGATGTCTATAGCATTTTTAGCTCACCTGAGCATATGCTCAGGGTGAGCTTTTAGGATCACTCTTCGTCCGTCGTCTGTCGTCCGTCGTACGTTGTCCGTTCACACTTTTCAAACGACATCTCCTCTGAAACCATAAGGCAGATCATAATGAAACTTCACAGGAATGTTCCTTGTGTGAAGCCTTAACAAAGTTGTTCAAAGAATTCCATTCCATGCAGAACTCTGGTTACCATGGCAACCAAAAGAAAAAACTTTAAACATCTTCTTCTAGAAAACCCAAAGAGCTAGAGCTTAGATATTTGGCATGAAACATCTGCTAGTGAGTGTCTACCAAGATTGTTCAAATAAAAGCCCTGGGGTCAAAATTGGCCCCGCCCCAGGGGGTCATTGATTTTCCCTATATGCATATAGTAAAAACTTTAAAAAATCTTCTTTTAAAGAACCCAAAGAGCTAGACCTAAGATATTAAGCATGAAACATCTTCTAATAAGTGTCTACCAAGATTGTTCAAATAAAAGCCCTGCGGTCAAAATTGGCCCCGCCCCAGGGGGTCATTGATTTCCCTTATATGCATATAGTAAAAACTTAAAAAAATCTTCTTCTAAAAAACCCAAAGAGCTAGAGCTTAGATATTAAGCATGAAATATCTTCTAATAAGTGTCTACCAAGATTGTTCAAATAAAAGCCCTGGGGTCAAAATTGGCCCCGCCCCAGGGGGTCATTGATTTTCCTTATATGCATATAGTTAAAACTTAAAAAATCTTTTTCTATAAAACCCAAAGAGCTAGAGCTTAGATATTTGGCATGAAACATGTTCTAATGGATGTCTACCAAGTTTGTTCAAATAAAAGCCCTGGGGTCAAAATTGGCCCCGCCCCAGGGAGTCATTGATTTTCCCTATATGCATATAGTAAAAACTTAAAAAAATCTTCTATTAAAGAACCAAAAGAGCTAGACCTAAGATATTAAGCATGAAACATCTTCTAATGGGTGTCTACCAAGATTGTTCAAATAAAAGCCCTGGGGTCAAAATTGGCCCCGCCCCAGGGGGTCATTGATTTTCCCTATATGCATATAGTAAAAACATAAAAAATCTTCTTCTATAAAACCCAAAGAGCTAGAGATTAGATATTTGGCATGAAACATGTTCTAATGGATGTCTACCAAGATTGTTCAAATAAAAGCCCTGGGGTCAAAATTGGCCCCACCCCAGGGGGTCATTGATTTTCCCTAAATGCATATAGTAAAAACTTCAAAAAATCTTCTATTAAAGAACCCAAAGAGCTAGACCTAAGATATTAAGCATGAAACATCTTCTAATGGATGTCTACCAAGATTGTTCAAATAAAAGCCCTTGGGTCAAAATTGGCCCCGCCCCAGGGGGTCATTGATTTTCTCTATATGCAATATAGTAAAAACTTAAAAAAATCTTCACTTAAAGAACCCAACGAGCTAGAGCTAAGATATTAAGCATGAAACATCTTCTTATCAGTGTCTACCAAGTTTGTTCAAATAAAAGCCCTGGGGTCAAAATTGGCCCCGCCCCAGGGGGTCATTGATTTTCCTTATATGCATATAGTTAAAACTTAAAAATCTTTTTCTATAAAACCCAAAGAGCTAGAGCTTAGATATTTGGCATGAAACATGTTCTAATGGATGTCTACCAAGTTTGTTCAAATAAAAGCCCTGGGGTCAAAATTGGCCCCGTCCCAGGGGTCATTGATTTTCCCTATATACATATAGTAAAAACTTAAAAAAATCTTCTATTAAAGAACCCAAAGAGCTAGAGCTAAGATATTTGGCATGAAACATGTTCTAATGGATGTCTACCAATTTTGTTCAAATAAAAGCCCTTGGGTCAAAATTGGCCCCGCCCTAGGGGGTCATTGATTTTCCCTATATTGCATATAGTAATTAAATACTTAAAAATCTTCTTTTAACGAAACCAAAGAGCTAGAGCTAAGATATTTAGCATGAAACATGTTCTAATGGGTGTCTACCAAGTTTGTTTAAATAAAAGCCCTTGGGTTAAAGTTGGCCCTGCCAGGGGGAGGGGGGGCGGAGCAAAAGTCATTGTTATTCATTATTTGTGTATAGTAAAAACTTAACATCATGAAATATCTTCTAATGGGTGTCTTCCAAGTTTGTTCAAATAAAAGCCCTTTGGTTTAAACTGGCCCCGCCCTGGGGGCCTATGTTCAGGTGAGCGACCCCAGGGCCATCATGGCCCTCTTGTTTAGATGTCTGCCAGGTTTCTGGTAGTTCAGATCGTGACAGGCTCTTTTCTGAAACATTCTTTTTTCAAAGACATAATGTACTGAAGTTGTGATAAATTGAGTAACTTAACCCTTTACCTCATGAGCATATTGTGAAAAATGGTGTTTTCATTGAAAAGCCTCCTGTTAACAGTTAACTGCTATGAAGCTATGAAAAATGCTTCAATACTGATGAAACTTGGCACAAATGTTGACTGGACCATAGCCTCTGTAACAGCATGCTCAATTTTAAATTTCTTGTTACCATATCAATGGGGGTCGTCTCAAAATTGCTAAAGTTCACTATTTTGCATTGTTTTTTTTCCATCAAAACTGATTTCAAAGTTTTGCAACTTCTCAATGGATTTAGATAGAGTAAAAGTCTTTTCAGTTTTGGCTACACGTTACCTTACAATCAACCTGAGGCCATTTTTAGCCTGTCACATGTCCAAAATTTCCTAGGCCGATAAAGGGGGTTTTCAAACCTTGAAACTCTTCTGGCAACCCCCTGATGTACCATTTTGATAGGGCATGGCACCGTAAATGTGATAACTTATTTATCAACATTTCTCACAGTGTTTTTGGGCCTAAAAAGTGCATTTTTTCACTGTTGGAGGCCTCAAAAAGGGGGGTGGGGGAGCCAAAACACGTCTATATGAAGTAAAGGGTTAAGTTTGAAAAATTTTACCACAGTAGCATGATAAAGCTATCAATAATAGTTCTACTATACAACAACAAAGGTGATTAAATTACTTACTTAAGAGTATGATGACAATGTAGAGAAATTGCATTTCAATGTAATATAATGATTTTGTCATTGCATGTCACCTAGCATCGATGCCAGTGGAGAATGTAGCCACATTTGCCAGTATGTTAATGATAACCATAATGGAAACTCGGTGATGAAACTAAGGGTCATTAATAAAGTTGCAAGATTGTGTCTCTTTGCCAAGAAGGACATTAATTATGGAGAGGAAATATTGTATGATTATGGGGACAAACAAAGCTTGTGGTGGAGAAAGAAGGTAATATTTCACTTCATTTATTTTTTCACTTTAAGCCAAATTTGACAAGCTCAAATTGTTAGTTAAGTGATATCATACTATAATTGTTTGTTAAGTGATATCCTACTATAATTCTTTATCAGTGAAATATACTAGAATTAACTGTGTGCACCAAAACTGTAATGCAAAAGTTACTATAATTATAAGTGTGTGGATAATACAGATACATGTTTATCCTTGTTGAAAAATTGCTTTATCCCGACAGAATACTGACTTGGAAGATCAATATTGTTATGGTAAACATTATTCCTTTTATAATTATACAAAGTTGCGTTAGTTTTGAATTATTTTATAAATTATTTATATAGAGGTTTTGCATGTAAGTTTGAAATATATTTCACTGAGTGAATATTGAGCAATATTTTGACAAGTGAAAATAGAATAGCTGGTGTTCATGAATCTTATATGTAAAAAAAATAAATTTTCTTTTTATTTCATGCTATTTTTAAGGGATTTACAATATTCTTTAATGATTTTGCCGCTTAATGTCGGGCATTCCCCTAATTTTGTAACTTATTTAACATGGTGTATGGCGACAAATTTTCTTTTCCTAAAGAAGCAACATTTACGGAATTTATTTCTGCCTGTTATTCCATTTATTTATGGTTTTGTTTTCATCCCCATTCAATTATAGTCCAGCTACAGTGAAAATTATATTTTATAAATTTCACTAGTGGTTTATCAGAAATTCAGAATATAATCATCTGATATATTCCAGTAAAACACTGGAAAGCATGAAATAAATTTATATAATTATTTATAGAAATAAATACTAAACAATTTTTATCATAAAACTTCAGCAATGAGGTCCTGGTGAGTGTTTTAGGGTTATCATGGATCTCTTGTTTATACATCTTGTCCCATTTTAAGAAGGGTGTTAGAAAAAAAATCAGGAATAATATTAACATACTTCAATAGGTTATGATCAGACAGATTTAATTTTTCATAAAAGCTCATTTGCTTAATTGAAATGACATTAAATCAAGAAAGTAAATAAAATATCTAGAGAAAATTAGTTTAAGGGTTAATTCAAATATTTTTCCTGACCTTGAAAATTTATTTTAATCAAAATAATTTGCTATTTACATGTATAAAGGTGTTCCAAACTAGTTTCCATGCCATTTTCCAGTCTTAATTTTGCACAGAGTATCACAATGTTTGGGGGTGCCTGAGTGGTTAGTGTCATTGACTTTGAATCACTTTTTTTTCTCACTGCTGTGGGATCATATCCCACCAGAGTTTGGATTCCTTCATGTTTCGAAGCTATCCAGCTATCTTTGGAATATTGGTGGTTCTACTCCTGCTGAGGTATGCCTGAGAAAAGTCCGCACATGACCTTCCCAACAAAACAAACATGGAGATCATTGAACAAAGAAAACAAAATTAAATATTTTTATACCCCCGCACAACAAAGTTGTAAGGGGGGTGTACTGGAATCAGCTTGTCTGTCCGTCAGGCCGTCCGTCAGGCTGTCAGTCCGTTTTTTCTTGTCCGTCCAATAACTTTAGATTCCCTTGACCCTTAGTCTTCATATTTGGCATGGAGGTTAGTCATGATTAGTAGGTGACCCCTATTGATTTTGAGGTCACTAGATCAAAGGTCAAGGTCACAGGGACTTGACTTCAAAAAGACTTGTCCGCCCAATAACTTAAGATTCCTTTGACCCTAAGTCTTCATATTTGGCATGGAGGTTAGTCATGATTAGTAGATGACACTAGATCAAAGGTCAAGGTCACAGGGGACATGACTTCAAAAAGCTTGTCCGCCCAATAACTTAAGATTCCTTTGACCCACAGTCTTCATATTTGGCATGGAGGTTAGTCATGATTAGTAGATGACCCCTATCGATTTTGAGGTCACCATGTCAAAGGTCAAGGTCATAGGGACCTTGACTTCAAAAAGCTTGTCCGCCCAATAACTTAAGATTCCTTTGACCCACAGTCTTCATATTTGGAATGGAGGTTAGTCATGATTAGTAGATGACCCCTATTTATTTTGAGGTCACCAGGTCAAAGGTCAAGGTCACAGGGACTTTGACTTCAAAAAGTTTGTCTGCCCAATGACTTTAGATTCCTTTGACCCACAGTCTTCATATTTGGCATGGATGTTGGTCATGACTATAAGGTGATCCCTATTGATTTTGAGGTCACTGGGTCAAAGGTCAAGGTCACAGGGACCTTGACAAAAAAAAAAAGCTTTTCTTCTCAATTGCTAGAGTATGTCCTGTCCGCAATGTATTGATTTTGACAATTTTAAATTTGAAGCATAACTTAGCAATGCACTGGCTTAGTAACCTCAGATTTGGCAGGGAGGTTGTCCTTGAGCTCTAAATGGCCAATGTTGATTCTGACAAAGTGGTATGCGGGGGTATTCATGCCATGATAGTGGCAGTTCTAGTTTATCTTTGATTGCACCTGATCCCTGATGTCTCTTATGAAGAATTTTTTATGTTGTTTTATAAATCTTAAAATTTAGTGTAAACAGAATTGCTATCATCACTTGTATTTTTATCAGACAAAGAAGGAGAAAAAACATTGGTATTAGCCAACAAACATTGTTAAAGGACTACATGTTTATGTGGCTGTTCTTTTTGTGTCGCCTCTACGGAGTAGTGGCGACATATAGGGATCACTTCTCTGTGTGTCCCTTTTTCGACTTAGAAATTTTTGGTTAATTTTTTGCGTGTAAGCTGGTATATCCATACCTACTGAAGGGAATAGATTGAAACTTTACACGCAACAAAAGACTGTTGTGTTTTAAATGATACATGATTGTACATGTATTGTATTACAGTTGTCTGTTTATTAAACAATAAGATACATGGGAAGGTTTGTATCCTTGATAAAACTTTCTATATTATGTTAATGCCTCTGATTAAAAGTGTAGCTAAAATTTATAAATTTCTCTATCATTGATTTGCTTACTTTTTGGTCTCCTTTGTGCATGCTTTGCGTAAGCAGCATCACAGAAAACAAGTCTTATGTATTTCTTTCCTAACTGTATGAATAGAACATGTATTTTACTGAAATAGTTTAAAATAGGTATGAAAATGAATCGCAGATAAGTAATGACAAAAAAATTATTGATATATCAGTGTATCGTTGATTCATATCTATATATTGTTGATACGCTATGCACTGAATCAATGACAGCTCTAGGTGAAACCATATTTGCCTTGTATTTGGAAGTTGATACTGACATAAAATTGTTATAAGTTTATTACAAAAATGGATTGTACTTTATTTTATTCTCTGATTCAGACAAGGAACATAGTTTTAAAGATACATGTAACATGGATCAGATTGGATCACTAGAGTTAGATAATGAAGAGTCCTGCTCCACACCTATTTTGGAAATCAGTATGTATTATTTCTGTTTAAAGTTTTTGATTTAAAAGGTATCTAAAATTATAAATTTTTGCCTTCCATCATTGATTTCCCTGCTTTTTGGTCTCCTTTCTGCATGTATTGCGTAATAAATCTATATAAGGCACCTTTCTCAAATACTCACAATGGCTTTCAATGCATAATGTTACCCATAAATCATCAATTACAGACTTAAATCATGTGGTTGTTAATGTCTGTTGAATGTTTGGATACCATTCATTAATTCTTTGCTATACACGAACTTCTGGTCTCGTTTTTTTTGCTTTTAACTGCAGGAAATAGGCATGGAAGATCAGTCTTCCTATCTGTGCTTTCCTTATTTTCGTTTTTTGTAGCGCAAAACTCTGGTTCCATTCATGCCTTTAGTAAACAAATGCTCAGGATATGTTGCTAAACTGTTCTATATGGTATATTTGTTGAAAATCGTAACATGTGTCATCTCGAAATAGACATGAAACCTGAGTGACTTGTCACTGCGCCGCAAATTCTTCTAACTTTGCAATTTTAATTTTCCTATTTTACATGAGATATTTTCATTTATTTGTATCTTTTTGCGTTTCTTAAGTTATCTAACTCAAATTTTCTGAGATGATGTAAACATAGCAGTAGAGAAAGTCAACGTGACATTGTGCAGACACATCATCATATATTTAAAATATAGGTAATTAATTTAAGCCTATTCATAGCAAAATGCAAATTATTTGACGTGCGCCAGGAACTCAAACCAATGTCATTGATACTGAAAAATTCTTATTAACTAGAGTGAAATTTTTGTAAATGATTTGTTGTAATGTGAAAGAATAAACTTAACAGTTATATGCGTGAATTATTTTCTATTGGCGTTAAAAATGAACCGTCTATAAAATTTGTCATGGACTTTTGGGACAACCCTTGTACTTTACATTTATAAAGGTTGATATGAATATTCTGGTCTCCTTAAACCATACTTTACATTTATAAAGGTTGATATGAATATTCTGGTCTCCTTAAACCATACTTTACATTTATAAAGGTTGATATGAATATTCTGGTCTCCTTAAACCATACTTTACATTTATTAAGGTTGACATGAATATTCTGGTCTCCTTAAACCATACTTTACATTTATTAAGGTTGACATGAATAATCTGGTCTCCTTAAACCATACTTTACATTTATAAATGTTTTGATGATCGTACTGCATTTCATAATGATTTACAATCTTAATGAAAAATAATAAATGCCAAAACACAGTGTTTCTTCCAGATCGCGTTTTTTACGCATTTTTTACGGCCTTGACGCAATGAGACTCAATTTGTGTGTTTCCAGTGACGCAGTAATTTATTCTCTATTAATTTACAGTAAATGTCAAATTATGACAATTTCAAATCCATTGCAAACTATTTAACAAATTTAAATACAAATCATGCACTGCTTTGATTTTACAACTTAATACCTTTCAATTTAATTGTCCGTTAATCAGACAAAAATTCCCTTTTATGTATCCAAGAGGACAATATAAATATCCAATTATTGTCCACTTTTCTATCAATTAATCAATTTTCAAAACATAATTCCGTATGTACTACACAACCCACTTTCCATTGTTACACATTTTACCTGTATACAGTACTGCTAGTGACGTAGCTATACGACCAAATATGGTAAGGATGATGCAACTGTGTAAACAACTGCCTTGCTGATTTAAATTTTAGTTGTCAGTACATATTAAGCTGCATTTATTACAGTAGCTAACTGGGGGTAATTAAATTAAAGAATTTTCAAATTATTTTTATGCAACATTTTCTGTTCTATTCATCTATTATTGTCCATGGCTGAATGAATAATAGGAAAGAGGCTAATAAATTAGTGGTTCCAGTTCTTTTATGTACTTATTGGCTAATGAAAGAAAATTAATGGTTTGGCATAACCCTAAAAAAATTTAAGTGACCCTTAAAATCTGATACAGGGGGTCAAAAATGACCCCCAAAAAATTGAAGCTGGAAGACACACTGAAAACGTGCCGTGATTTAACGCAAGAAACACTCTGGCAATAACAAAAGTTATCATAAGTATTCTGTGACCTTCAGAGCTATATCAAGAACTCCAGGACATTTGAAAAATCTGGTATAAATCTGTTAGCCGGTGCTTTATGTTTGCAATTTTGCATTATAATTCGGTAATTATGTATGGCAAGGATGAAGACCAGAAATAAACAGGTCATTTCTTCTGAACTGGCAAATAATTTGGAATTTTTTCTCAAAACTACCAGATTTTAAGCAAGAGGCAATGACAAATGGCCTATGAATTGGTTTTTAATACAAGATGTAAGACAAGCTTAATCACTTAAGTTTTATTTAGCTTTTAAAACTCATTTTTGAAAAATGAAAATATCCATTTTTGACGAGTGTTTTTGTAGTATATACAAATGTTTTCGAGCGAACTCCTTGACAGTTATCACAAGAGGATGAGCTTTTGTGATCGCTTTTCGTCCGGTGTTCGGCCGTTTTGAATCTTTTACTTTAAATGACATCTCCTTATAAACCACTAAGCTAATTTCATCTAAACTTTACAGGAATGTTCCTTTGGCAGTCACCTATAAAATTTGTTCAAAGAATTTAATTCCATGCAGAACTCTGGTTGCCATGGCAACCGAAAGAAAAAACTTTAAATATCTTCTTTTAACCATAAGAGCTAGAGCTTAGATATTTGGCATGAAACATCTTCTAGTGAGTGTCAACCAAATTTGTTCAAATAAAAGCCCTGGGGTCAAAATTGGCCCTGCCCCAGGGGGTCATTGATTATCCCTATATGCATATAGTAAAACTTAAAAAAATCTTCTTTTAAAGAACCGAAAGAGCTAGAGCTAAGATATTTAGCATGAAACATGTTCTAATGAATGTCTACCAAGTATGTTCAAATAAAAGCCCTGGGGTCAAAATTGGCCCTGCCCCGGGGGTCAATGATTTACCTTATTTACGTAAAGCAAAAACTTAAAAAATCTTTTTTTAAGAAAACCAAATAGCTAAGGTTTAGATACTAAGCATGAAACATCTTCTAGTGAGTGTCTACCAAGTTTGTTCAAATAAAAGCCCTGGGGTCAAATTGGCCCACCCCTGGGGTCATTCATTTTCCTTATATGTGTATAACAAAACTTAAAAAATCTCCTCTTTGAAAAAACTCAAATAGCTAGAGTTTAGATATTAAGCACGAAGCATTTTCTAGTGAGTGTCTACAAAGTTTGTTCAAATAAAAGCCCTTTGGTAAAAATTGGCCCGGCCCCGGGGGACATTGATTTTCCTTATATGTGTATAGCAAAAAACTTAAAAATCTTCTTTAAAAAATCCGAATAGCTAGAGTTTCGATATTAAGCATGAAACATTTGCTAGTAAGTGTCTACAATGATTGTTCAAATAAAAGCCCTTGGTTAAAACTGGCCCTGCCCCAGGTGTGTCATTGTGTTTAACTATATGTGTAAAAAAAAAAAACTTGAAAAAAAGACCTTAGATGTTTAGCATGAAACATCTCCTAATGGGTGTCTACCAAGTTTGTTCAAATAAAAGCCCTGGGGTTTAAACTGGCCCCACTCCGGGGGCCTATATACAGGTGAGCGACTTCAGGGCCATCATGGCCCTCTTGTTTATGAATTGCTGTCCTTATGTTCTATAGTTTTCAAGAGCATGCTGCCCAGCTTAAAGAATATTTTAAGATACATCTCTTGGGATTTCACTTAATGCACCAAAGTCTGTTTCTTTAATATACTTCTTCATTTTTTCAGAAGCCTGATAGATTCTGCAAGTTTTGTCATCAGATTGTTAAAGGTGGAAAACTGAAACGCCATATTGAAAGGAAACACAAGACAGACATAGGGCAAATATAAGCTAACTCACCATCTGTGAAGAAGGAGTACTTTGATCAAATAAGGCGGGATGGAATTCATGAGTATAATGTTAAACAAATGGAAAAAAGCCTAGAACCATCAATGTGAGAAAGAATCCCTGTGAAAAAAGATAGTCTCAGACTCTGTGAGGATTGTAAGGGTTATTATTCAAATAAGTATTTTTTTAAACATAAATGTCTTGCCCTTAAGCCTACTCCAATGAAACCTAGTTTGATGTTATCAACAAATGATGCAGAAATAAAGAAAGATACAGAGTTCCAGGCAATACTGAATAGGTTTCATGATGACTTTGTTGGAAATTTGTGCAGAACAAATGACATAATTATAATGATTGGTTACAGACACTTCAATTTAAGAAGACACAAGAATGGTAAGGAAGATGAAGTTAGGAAGGTGGTTATGTCTGAAATGCGCTCTTTGGCAAGGCTGTATTCAGAATTTGAAATGCATTGTACAGGAAAAACTGTGGAAGATATGCTGTCAAGAACTCATTTAGAAGATTTGTGTGAAGCAGTTAACACTTTGACAAAAAGAGAAAACAACTCTGAGAAACATGGTCTGAAACTTCATTTAGATGCAGTGATATTAAGATCAGTCAAGGCACTGAAAGGTTATTATGCTTCTAAAGAACAAGATGACAAAAAAAAAGAGTTAAAGCATTTCAAAGATGCATATGAATATAAGTCAAAAATTCTTTACCCCAAAGCTAGACAGATGTGTATCAACAACTCATTCGAAAAGGCAAGGAAACCAGCCAACCTGCCAGATGAAATGGAGTTGAGAAAATTAAAGAACTTTATAGAAAAAGAAATAGTGGAGATAACGCAAAACTTCCATATTAAAGATTATGCTTATCTCAGAACACTTGTTGTCTCAATACAGAAAAAAATAAAAAATATTACATGTTCTAAGTAAAAACCTTGTCACGTATGATGTAGTTGATGATAAGGAACATACATGTATATTAGAAGTTTAAAGTTGATCTCTTAAGAAATACAGACTTTAGATTGAAAAATGAATTTTTTAAGGAAAATTCCAAGTTCAAGGTGTGACAATTCTGGAGTTAGGAGCCTTGTCACATTAGATGTGGTTGGTGATATATTTGGAGTTTAAAGTTGATATTTTATGAAATAAAAAAGTTATAGTAAAAATATTTTACTGCCTGAATTTTGAACATGGACGCTAACACCTGGGTGAGTGGGATAGTCAAGCTAAAAAACAACAAGTTGTTTTCAGATAATAATTAAATTAAACATTTTTATGTCATGAAACAATACAAATATGCTGTGTATAAATTTATAAGAATGATATTTTGATTCATGCACAAGTTCCAAGCAAACTTTTAAGATAACAACAGCCTCATAATGGGACCAGTTAATCTTACTTGGTGTAATGCTCCTATAATTTGTTTATTACTTTGATTTCTATTCACCATAATAAACGAATATATCGGACAAAACTACAAATGCTGAACAAAGTATTCTAGGTAAAAAATAAGATATTTATTTAATAATGCTCTACTTTTTGTATTGTTGCAAAGGCGTTAAGTTATTACTGGATATAGCTTTGAGTCCAAAATGGCTTGTTGCTCAGTACTTTTCCAACTACATGTATTTCTTTTAAGTATACTCTGTCCAATGAATTAAAATATTTTTTTATATAACTTTCTCATTTCTTAAGGTATCTATCTCGAATATTTATTACTTATTACACACATGATGTGTGATGAGATACATAACTCTAGCACACATTTTTTCATAGTTATCCCCCTTGAACATACAATTTTTGTTGAAAATGTTATTTTTATGCCCCCGGCAATTGAACCATTCATTTGTCTGTCCGTACGAGGTTAACCTAGTACGCCAAGTTGAATTTTCCTTAAGTTCTACCTATACCAATTGCTTCATTATTTACACACTTATCAACACAAAGTACATGATCTGGGCAATTTACATAACTAGCTTCCATTTTTACCAAGTTATTGCCCTTTTCAGCACTTAGAAAATGAGTAATGGTTAACCTAAACCAGCAAGTTGAATATATCTTGTGTTCTAGCTTCATAATTACCACAGTTTCTTATCAATACAAAGTACATGATGTAGCCAAGTTATATATCTGTGCCATCCATTTTTTCCCAGGTATTTCCCTTTTTATCACTTTGAAAATAGGGCCTTGTATGGTATTCTGGCAAGTTGGATTTATCTCAAATTTCTCCTTTTTACTTCATTTATTTAATGATAGCTTTCATATTTTGTAGGTGGATACCTTTAATGCTCTTCTTATGGTTAAGTTTTTT